CCCCAAAACCCCAAAACCCCAAAACCCCAAAGAGATTCAATCGTTAAATCTGATATAATTTAAATTTAAAATTCTCAATCAAATAAATCAAAGATGAGTAATTTAGAAATAGAGAAACAAGAACCCCAACTTAGCTCCAGAAAGAAACCTCCTCACTATATGAGAAGAACTTCAGAGTAGCGCTCAAAGACCAATCAATCATTTCATCCTGTACAGTAAACATTTGGAAATCAAGATTCAGATGATGAGCTAAGCATAACTTGCTTGTCAAAGGATAAATCAAAGACATATAATCAAACAGTAAAGTAGAATTGTAGGTCTAGACTTGATAATCTCAAATTAAAGGCTACTGTTCCAACTAAACGTGCAGCAATCACGAAGATCATGCTAGATGAAGAAGACACGTCAAATCAATAGCCTCTTACAACAAATGAGGAGTGTGATGAGCATGAGCTCCAAAAATATTAAACAGAGGTTGGTGCTGGTATTTGTACTACACCTATAACAGAAACATTTATTGGTGATACCTGTTCAGATACACAGTCTTAGTATCCAAGTTTACTTGAGTTGCAAAAGAACAATCCCTTCATTAATAAAAGACTTTCAATTATTAAAAAGACTTATAAACTTTAAGGCTCACTAAGTCCTTCAGATATCACCAGCAGTATAAGTAATAAAGGTTAATTGAATCTAACCTCAGCTAATCTCTCTAGTATGAATTCAAATAGTCAAACAGCCATTGTTTCCAGGAAAAAGAATGGTGAATCTTAGTAAAGATTTAATATGGCTGAAGAGACCTAGAAAGTAATCAGAGCTACCTAATAGAAGTTAAATAGAAATAGAAACTCTGTTGGAGCGAAACCAGCACAAAGTAATAATCCATTAAATAATACTACAACAACACATACCAGTGAAATTTCATAAGTTCGCAACACTTATAATAAATTGGCGAGAGACTATGCCTGTCTCTAAGCTATGTATGATAGAGCTGATCTGAAGCTTAAGGACTGTTATCTAAAGCTCAACAATACCATATAGATAAATTGCAGTCTTTAGCAAGAGCTAAGAACTAAAAATGTGACTATAGATAATTTAATGAAATCAAAAACCTAGGCTGAGGACAAGGTTAAAGAGCTCAAGGAGGAAAATACCAAACTCCAGAGATTCATGATATAAGGCTCAAAGGGTTCTGTCTTGGCTGAGCAAAACAAAGATCTTAGAGAAAAGTTAAAAGTACTTGAGCAGGAAAGAGATAAACTTGAGAACTTTTATAATCATGCCTAGTATGAAAAGAAGACTAAAGATGACAACATTAAAGTACTTCAAAATGCTATAGAAATGAGAGTAGATACAATATGCAACAAGATGGGGTATACAGAGACAGATAAAAGCTTTGATGAAACACCTGGAGGAGTATATGTTGAACTTATGAAGGCTAAAAACGAACTGGAATGTGAAAGAAAGCTCAGGTAAAAGCTTGCTACTAGAGTGCTAGATTTAGAAAAATAGTTAATTAAAGAAAAATCAAGAGTAGATGATTATAAATTCATAAGAGAAAATGATAATCAAGAGATCATTAGACTTGAGCAGGAAGTTTAGCAATTTAACCAAACTCTCATAAGATTGGAGAAAGAAAAATAGGACTTGAGATAAGAAATAAGTGATCTATAATTGTAAATAAAGCATTATCTTCCACAATCCACAATCAGACACGAAAGATAAAAATCTTAAACTACTACTCCAAAGTAAGAACTAAAATCGATTAATTTAAGTTAACAAAACCAGCCAGCTCCATCAACTGCAACTCCCTGTCATTATCAGGTTGATTTGATAAAAGAAAAGGATAAGGAAATTCAAATTTTGAATAGAGAAAAGCAGACCATAGATGATAACTATAGAGAGCAAATGCAAATGATGCAAGAAGCAATTATGGAATTGAAGCAAAACTATGATGCTCTGAAAGTTAAAGTAGACTGCAAAAAGACACTTACTATTCCTACAATCCTTTCTAATGATGCTGATGATAGGTCGAATACTAATTAAAGAACTTCTTAATTTAATGTTACTATGCTACATAGTGAGGAGTCTTAAAAGTCTCTGATTGAACTCAAGCCAATGTTCAATGAACTTAAGAATGAAAATACTATCAGTTTTAATCTTCTTGTTAATAACCAATAGTCTTATACTAATTTAAACGCTGATCCAAATGTCTATGAGAAATCGTAGCCAATATTAAATAAAGAATGCCCTGTTTCTAATAAATCGAATGTATCTATGAACAAACCATAAGGAGCACTAAGAGAGCTCTAGGTTTTGGAATTTAATTAGAGTGAGAAAGTACTACCTCAGTATTAGCTTTATCATCAGAAACCTCAATAATCAATAATTATTGATCTGGATGAAGAAGACAAAGAGAACTAAAGTCGATCAGATTTGAATACATTGGAAAATAACTTATTCAATGATAATTCAAAGACACTTTCATTAAGTAGTTTGATGTGAGTATTAAGCTCAGTTGGATTATGACTTATTAAATTGAATTGAACTTATTTCTTATTATTTAAATTTCGTTTGAGTTAATAAATTAATACTATTTTTTCAAATCTAGGCTCTGGGGTTTTGGGGTTTTGGGGTTTTGGGG